TGGATGCAAGCTCAGTGATATGGTTGGCGGGTCTAGTTTGGTGGAAAGAAAATAGTTGCAACATGAAACTGCTCACAGTAAGGTCTGTGGATTATCTTGAGTAACCGGGTCATGATTTCTGGAAAGAAACATTGCTGTTTAGTTTTTCAAATGTACTTTTTTGGAGCGCCATCTTGTTCCATTATTTTCAAGAAGAGTTAGACATCTCTGTGAATATCTCCAACACTCCACAACTCATATCAAATAATCTAGACTGATAAAAAGCACTGCAAGTAAGAGGAAAACATATGTACTTTTCATTTTGGGGTGAACTGTCCCTTTAACAGCAACAGTGGGAACAGGATGGTCCGAACTCTGAGTTGCACAGGCACAAAATGTGAGGCATGTTTTTTTTAGTTTGAAGTGACTCAATAATTGAGAGTTTACACAAAAAAGGCTTTCAGGATGTTGGCACACCTTGAAAAGTCCTGACAATAATAATGAAATGTAATCTTTCAACATTGGACAACCTTCAAAACGAGCCAAGCAAAGCAGTGAGGTGACACTTTTTTCACTGAGTGCAGCTGCAGATAACAGAGAGCTGAAAAAGTCTATTCAGGGAAACTAGATAACACACAAAAGGACCTGCACAATATCGGCATACTTTTACAAATCAGAAATAATCACACACTATAATTTAAATCACAGCACGCACACATGCAAACACACATACAGAAACTATGCTCATGTGGCCTCCGCAGGCCCTCGGTTACATAACGCGTTCACAGAGACACATTCCAAGATCGGGAAGAGCAGCTGAGCACTGAGCGCAGGCACAGCGCCTGACACACTGAATCTTTTGTTGTTTAAAAACATGTGCATGACCACGATGTTCAGGCTTTAGTAATGCCATGACGATTAGCTCAATACCCACAGGTCCCTGCTCACACTGACTGGTGACACAGACACATCCAGCATAAAACAGGCATCAAACTGTGCTAAGATACCGCTGCTGTAAATAACATTCACTGTGAATAAACACAGCTATTTTCTGTCAATCAACAGCTGTAGCACTTAATTTTTCACGACCTTATTCAGTTCTACCTTTGTGCCTGTTACAACAATTGATCTCCTGTTAATCTGAGGGCATCACGCACAACTAGAATGAGCCTTAAATGTAGACGTGGACTATAATGTGGAATCCATCTGCTCAATAAAAGAAAAAAGTCAAGTCAACAGCTATGATGTTTAAGTCATGGTTAAAGCAAAGATGTAAACATTCACTGGTTGCATATTATCAGCTGTGAGGACGAAAGTTGGGTAAAACAAAATTTGAAGATGACAACTTGAGCTCTAGAACTTTGTGCAATGCATTATTTTACGCAAACTGATCCCATGGATCCAAAAACTAATGAAAAAAGTAAATGATAATGAAAATAATGGTTAGTTGCAGACCAAATACTGAGTCATGGCTGTGGACAGTGGAGCTGCAACATTATTTTCGTTATCGACTAATCTGCTGTTTTTAACCACTAATTAACCGTTGTGTTGCCCTGCCCAAAAATATATCATTTAATAATCAAATTAATATCGTAAACATGCGGGCAACTTGTCGACTAATGGCCCTAAATAACGACAATTGGTCGACAAGAAAAATTCTTTCCTGGGAGCAGCCCTAGTCGCAATATAGCATTATAAATGAAATGTTGTGGTGCTACAGAGATGCCACGCCTACAGATCATAATCCAAACATAGGGGAACATGCTTGCTTGGTACAGACGTCAGCAAAAATCACATCTTTATCATTTTTTTCAGTGAAAAATAGTGCAAAAATTACCATTCCCACTACAATTGCGGCTCATATGACAACCACACCATCTGTCCAGATAATCGCAATATGATTTTTTGTGCATATCGTGCAGCCCTACTTACAGGAAGCAAGAAAAGGTGTCAAAGTCAGTTTCTATATTGTCTTGTTTCTGTCACTGACCATCAGACATGACCAGTTCGTAGTCTGAGAACCCGTCAGTATCTGGACTCTGACATTTACACTGGTGAGACTGACCTTTAAGATTTAGCGACAGAGGTGTTAGCTAAGCATGAGGAACCCAAACAAACACACTGATCTGATAATAACTGCACTTCTGCTAACACATCCTTGTCAGAGTCAAATCTGTGTAATTTTTTACTCTCATAAACAGTACCTTGGTGTTTGGGGTTAAATTGTGCCTTTAAACGTCACTCTAAGTGCGCTGATCTTCAAATCTCTCCCTTGATCTCCTTCTGTCTTTAATCTGTGAGTTCGGTGAATCTCTTCTTGATTAAGTGTAGGGACTGTTTTGCACAAAGGTTTTTGCCAACGTAAAACAGCCGCAGCCATTGTAATATTCGTCTACTATGCATTCAGCAAGCATTTATCAGAGTTTGTCTCTGCAGGAAATGGACATCATATGTTTTCCAGTGGAATCATATCACTACATTTGTAGTTTATTCCAAGCAACCACTTAGCTGAACCAATAATCAGAGAAAAAGAGCTCATTTTCAAATTTTTCTCAACTGTCTGCACTTCATAGGCCCCGTGCTTTCAACAAATAAGGTCTACTACTACTGCCGGTGCAACTGTTACTGCTTTAATAGTAAAGCTAATAACAAAAGCAACTTTAGTATGATCTCTTCGTATCTATCTGCAGGCAGGGACTCGTGGGTAAGTTAGACCTGGGTGATAATTATACTGCAGAAGTAAGCAGGTTGACGAGCTAATTCAGTCTGCAAACACATCTGAGCCAACTTCTGAAGACCAGAGAGCAAGGTAGAAACAAAGAGTTTACATAACAGGAGGAAGATAACCATGCATTTAAGTCTTTCCTGCTGAGATAATCCATCAGGTTGTTAGGTAAGTAGACCACCTACTACTGTATATTAACCTACATGCTGTACCGACGTGGATTCTTTTTTCAAATACAATACAAACTAAGCAATGCAGACATAAATAACTACGGCAGTCATCTTATAGTAATGTGAGTAAGAAGAAGAAGAAATCAACACAAGCACTGTGAGGCCCTATAAGAATATTACATGATTCATTCCTTTGATTATTTACAGAAAGGATCCATTTTATATTATTCAATCAACAGTATGTAGCAAACTAACATTTTAATACTATAAATATGACGTTATTATTATTGCTGTTTATTGCAGCAGACCATTCTGCATCTCCACCATACTGCATGTAATGCACCTCATCACGGCACAATCCACCCACAAACTATAGCACACCAGGAAGTAGAGCCAGTCTGCCTTCAAAATAAAAGCATCTGGGTGTGCACTGGGGAAAAATAACGCTTTCAATAATGCTTTTATACAAGAATGACTAAATAAACTATCGCTTTAAAATATTTCAATGGAGTGTTGCTATACAAAGTGAATCTATGGCTAAAAATTCTGTAGATAATACGAACTGTATTGTATTTCCAGGAGTCCTTAATAAAGAGTTTATTCATATTTTTAGACAATTTCTGTCAGTTATGGATTACATTGATGTTTTCACATTATTTAAACTATTTATTTATGGCTTATTTACTTAGCATCTCTCCCTTTGTAAATAAATTATTGTTTTTTTTCTACCGTAAAAACAAATTGTTGCATTTTATTTGATTTCTACATAAAATACTGTGGTATTTTATGATGCCAATGTTATTTTTCACTGTTTGTATCCTGATATTACTGTTTATCATTTTTGATACTTATGTTTTGTTCTATATTTTTAAATAATTAAAAATTATTCATTATATACAAGGAACATTTTTTTATTTGGGAGCTGTTTAAATGTGTAATTAGTGGTAGATTTTATTTAGGTGTACAATTAATATTGTGACAGAAGCTGAATCTCACTCTGAGTTACTGTTATTCACAAACTAAAGAAATGAGAAATCATTTTAGTTTTGTTTTTACGGAATATCTGAAGCAAACTGTAAAACTATCACTTATTTTTGTTGCAATACTGTTTTCTTAAATTAATAATAAAACATATATATTTTGTTTTTTACTAATTTGACATATCGTCAAGAATATTGTTACCGCAAACATACCCTGAAATATCGTGAGATTATTTTAGGGCTATATCATCCAACCCTAATGAACATTATTAATCATAAATTTTGTGTCAGGATCGGCTGCAGACTGTCTTTGCAGAGATGGCTGCCATTTTGTTTTTACATGGATTAGTGCACTGTGCTCTTACTGCCACTAGATGGCACAGAAAGTGTCCACGAACGAGGACAATGGGTCTAAGTTGAGTTGAATAAAGTATAAAGTCAAGTAAACCCAAAATGTGATGTCCTCTTATGAAGACAAAGGGTCTTAGGAGGATATAATATAATATATTATATTATATTATGTATTTTTTCTACTGTTGTCCAATGAGTCATTTTAAATCCTCAATTTAAGTTTTAACAATGACTTCCGCTTGAATGTAGCAAAAATAAAAGGCTTTTATTTTGTAGTCAAAGCGGAAACAGTGTTGCTTTATTGTGTCAAACTTGACGCTGGTTGTTGCCGCTGTTGTTTCCAGTAACATCGGGTCAATATGGTGATAACACTGGGATGCAGGCTGCTGCTGGGGCACCGTTAAACCATTTCATATCATCACAATGAATAAAGACTTGTCACTGTCACAGTGTGTATTTTATCTTCTGTATTATATCCTGCATATAAAGGATGAAACACCGTGATGTGTCAAACCGCTCCGGTACCGTCTGTGTCGCTGCCTTTGTGCCACTGCGTTAAAAAAATAACATAACGCCACAGACCCAGCTGGCTCCATTTTCATTTAACACGACAGTCTGTTTAAAGACGACAGGATGTTAAGGAGCGGAACATAACTGTGGGAAGCAAAGCCTGCGTCTTTCCCGTTATGACCGACCGAGGCATCATTTTTTCAGCCTCCTTTCTCCGTTTTCCTCCGCCTGCCCTCCTCCACCGCCTAACAAATACCACCACAATAACCGAAATGAAACACTCACCTTGCCGCAGGTGGTCGGCAGCAGGTCTGTGGTCGATACAAAGCATGAGAAGCTGCAGATAAACCGGTCTGGAGGTGTTAGTCCTTGACGTGTGGGAATACTGTCGTCTCTGACAGAGACTGCAGGGCAGACAGCGGCGGTGCATCGCAGGATGGGCTGGGCCGGAGCGGCACGTCATCCTGAGGTCACAGCTTGGTCCCAGACTGGATTATCTAACCATGGGTGGGACGGCTGGCCCTCAATAGGCCACTGAGCTCATCCAGAGTTAGCTTTGGTGAAGGGAAAACTGGAATTATGAAGTAATCAGGTGGTTTTATTTGAAGGGGAGAGTGGGGCTGGTAGTCACAGTGTTTACTTTCATTTAAACCCTTCAACAAATTCCCTTTATATATATATAATACAGGCCTAATGTGTATAGTAGGAATGGAGCAGGGGCGTTTCCAGAATTTGAAGACAATGGGGGCTCATGCAGGACATCTTTTGTCTATTTTGTAAGCTGAAACCATTTCCCTCAGTGGAAACTACTTTAATTTCAAAGATTAATAAACAAATTGTGAAGACAATAAAGCCTCCACAAAAATAGCATTTTAATTCTTGTGTGTGATTTATCCTGGCTTCATATGAGCAGAGGAAATCTCTGCTAGGCTAATTTATACAATGTAAACTGCCATAGGCTTGTGCTAATAATGATAGCGTATTTGTTTTGAAAACGTGTTTAGTATAAGACAGTTGTTTTGTCAGTGAACCTTGTGAGTTGTAATGGAGCTGAATTTTGTAATGTTACCTTTGTGAAATGTTGTCCCTGGCTTCATGTGAAGAGGAAAAGTCTGCTAGCTGCTCAGCTAATTTATATACACTGTAAAATGCCATAGGCTTGTGCTAATAACATTAGCATGTTGTATTTGGGGGAAAATGTTTGTCTGAATGCTGCAAGTTATAGAAGCTGATTTGTTTGAAATTGTCAATACTCAGTGTTTAAAGGTAAAAAAAATAAAAATTGTGATGTTAAAAATATTTGCATTAAGTAGAAACAGAATATGCTGCAATTTAGAGAATTGATTTCCAAGTTTATAAAATGTTTGCTTGACACATATCCACCCTTTTGCACCCTGATGAAGACCATAGGGTCTAAACCGATCCATGTCATGTAAGCAACCATGTTTTTGAAAAGGCTTGACATCAAGTGCATTTTAATCCTTGTTAATAGAACAGCAATTTTCTGCTAGCAACTAAGCTAACTACATGTTGTAGCCTTGCTAAATAAAGCTAAACTAGGTCTCACTGTTTTTTGTAAGTGTTAATTGCTCTAATAAACCTAGTGTAGAAAGCCTTAACACAGCAGAGCTGGATATTTAGATTCTGACAGTCCTACATCAATACCAAGTGTCTTAGTCCTGAGATGACCCTGTAAGTGACCCCTGACCAATTCTGAACATTGGATATTTCCACACCAATTTAACAGCAACCCAGAAGTGTTAAGGTTACCAGTTTAAGGCCATGTCATCAAATTGACTGGATTGTTTAAGACTCAGCCTACATTGAGCTTTTGTGCAGCTGCACAAACTTCTGGCTGAACAGATAGCAAAGTGAACAAATTCTGTAGGAGTGCAACAAGCACAGTCATGTCAGTGAACCTATAAGGTTCAGACAGTCACTAAACCTGAGGTGGTGCACAGTAGAGTTCTTGTAAGCCTTTGGTTTAAATTCTGCATCACTGTTCAATGCATCTCTCCATTTACAAAGCTGAATTAAAGTCTGCATTGTTTGCCACCATGTGTAGCCTACTACATTCGTCCAATATTGCCACCTGTCAAGGAGTGTGAAACCACTGACTGGAAAGTGGTTCACATCACCCATGCATGGGACAAACAGATACCCACTCACACAGCTCGATGGCATTACCAGAGGTAAGATTCCTCCAAGATTTTACCAAGTATGGTACAAACACTCATCTTGAAATATCAGATGTTCACACCAGCGTAAGACAAAATGCATTTATTTTTTTTTCCAGAGACTCTAACATATAAGCTTCAGTTCATCAAGGCCCATCAGATGAAACATCTCCAAGACATCTGAAATGACAAGTCAGAAGTTATTATTGGCTTTAATCTGAAGTGGTGTTGAGCAGAAAGATACAGGCTTTTCCTCATGAACCGACTTCACTCTTACCAGTAGCCAAATCTTCTTTTAGTCCCAAAATTGCCACTGGACGAGTAACCGGGCTGCTGCGGCTTGGACGGGTAACCGGGCTGCTGCGGCTTGGACGGGTAACCGGGCTGCTGCGGCT